GAGAGAGGGAGAGAGGGAGAGAGGGAGAGAGGGAGAGAGGGAGAGAGGGAGAGAGGGAGAGAGAGAGAAGAGTGAACAAAGCTAGTGTCCATCATCACAGGGCTAAGTGAGGTGGAGCCCTGACGTGGGTCAATTCCATTTCTAACAAGAGTGTGTTCAACATCTACTCTGTCCACATCACTGTGCAGAGGGCTATGGGGAAAGCCCTGGGGGGTAAACAAAAGAAGAAAACGAGATTTCCACCAGACTGTCTATATCCCTAGAGGGACAAGATTTTCACACAGAGTAGTTCAGTAACTCAGGGCATTATGTAATTGAATGTCAGAATAAGAAATATGTATAGTTAACACGGCAGGAATTTTAAAACAGGAAAAAAATGAAGGTGGGCTGGCAGGGGCAGAAAAGGTGTCATGGGGGAGGCGGGACCTGTGCTGGGTAAGATATGGAAACGGAAGGGCTATTCAAACAAGCAAACGCTTGCTCAGAAGAATATTTACATAATATTCTGAGAAGTAATCTTTTATCTTTCCGACTGGGGGAAAGTAGGTACAAGGTTTGGATCATGCTACGATCTGGGTAATTGAGGGAAACTGAGACAGAAAATCACTGGATCAAGAACAGAACAGACAGGGCTTCCCTGGTGGCGCAGTGGTTGAGAGTCCGCCTGCCGAGGCAGGGGACACGGGTTTGTGCCCCGGTCCGGGAGGATCCCACATGCCGCGGAGCGGCTGGGTCCGTGAGCCATGGCCGCTGGGCCTGTGCGTCCGGAGCCTGTGCTCTGCAACGGGAGAGGCCACAACAGTGAGAGGCCCGTGTACCGTAAAAAAAAAAAAAAAAAAAAAAAAGAACAGAACAGACAGAAGGGCCTTTCTTTCTTTATGCCACCACCCTCACACGTGCCTCTCCAGGCTCACCCACAGCCCCTCCCACGAGAGACTGACCCTCTCAAGAACTGCCAAAGGGAAGCTTCTGGCCAGAGAGGCAAGCAGAGAGAACTTGGTCCCCCACGGCCAGGGCTCCCGCTCTGCAGCAACTCACTCAACACCTTCGAGCCTCTCCTACCTCAGCACAGTGGTCTGGTCCCCAGGGCTGGGAGATAAGGAACCAGAAGAGCTTCGGTGTGAAGGAAAGAAGGTAGGTAGAGGACAGGAGAAACACCTCCTTAGCAATGAAAAGGCAAAAATAATGGCGCTGGGACTCGGTTAATACAAGATACCTGGTATTCCAAGGACTTCCATTTCTTGCATTTAGGGCTTCCCCTCTAACCCGGGAAACAATTTTTCTTAGGTTTGTCACTTACTTAAGACAGTGATTAATTTTTGTAGCTATAATCAAGAAATCCATCTTCATATAAAATCTTGGACACACACATTTATTCTCTGCTCTTGGTAAGGAGACTTGAGCACGAGATGGGGGTTTATAGCCAATTGGTAGCAGCAGTCCTACCAGAGCAGCCCTACAATTTCCTATCAGAGGAAATTATATCCTAAAACATCAAAACTGATTCAGAGTCAACAGGGATAGTGGCTTGTGATCAAGAGCATTCCAGGTACGTGTGGGACCCAGGGGGAGCAAACAGACAGTGAAACTGGCAGCGTAGACAAGCTCTTCCCCACGTGGCCTCACGTGCCCACGTGACCATCTCCACTGCTCTCCGTGGCCCCGAAATTCCAGCCATGTTAAATAAACCTCACCTGCCCCCCACAATGTGATGAGTGGCTCCTCCTCAGCCCTGCTTTCACCCCAGTGGCCCTCCCTCACCTCTCCTCCTCCCCACAAGCCGAGTGGGAGGTGCCCTTCCCAGTGTTCCCACAGCACCACACACACGCTGCTACTTCGGCGTGTATCACGCTGAGTTATTTATATCTCCTTCATTAGACCATGTGCTTCTAAGAGATGAGTGTGATCTTATTCATTTGTAGCTCCAATGTCTACTATGTCTACCATAATAATAATAATGTTGAGTAAATGGATGAGTGCGTAATTATTGTGCTGGGAGGTGAGTAAAATTAGACCAGCAAGAATTGAAGGTTTACAGTGGGAAGAATTAGATGAAAAGATTTGACCCCAACCATGCCCACGGCCCCTACTGAGAGCAGTCTGAAGTGATTTCTTATACGTGGGTGACTACGGTGGCACAGTGCGACCCGCCCCATGCCTGGCTACCGCTGATGAGATCAGAGGTAAAACTTGTCCCACGAGGGCAGCCCATCAATATGCAGCCAGTGACTTCCAAGGTGTCCTGGCCTAGAAGCTCTGACTAAACAGGGACAGGGGCAACATGCTGGGTCAATTAAGCTGGTTTTTCTGGGGATGTGAACTGTAGAGACAGGGAACTGGGTGGCTGGGTGGAGAGTAGAAGTGAAAGCAAATAGTAGAGGAGAGAAGGGAAGCTGAATCACAGTGGTGGTCGTCATGTATGCCCGATCTCCTGAGATGAGCTGACCCGGAAACGTGGCTGCTGGAACTGCCCTGGTCTTGGGTGACATCCCAGTTTTCATCTCCAGAGGTGAGACTATGCCACGTGTCTTGTTCTTCCCATTGGGCTGAGTCATTCAGCTTTTCCTGGGCTCCTTCGAGGTCCAGCCGCACAGCTTCTGTCTTCTTTATTTCCACATACAGCCATACAAAGTCTTTTCCCCTTCTAAACTTAAGCCAGCTTGAAACTCAAATCTTGCCACCAAGAAGAGTAACTTATACAGACTGATAGAGTGGGGGTCAGATTGTAGAGGTGCTTGCATGTTAGGTTCAGGAGTGTGGACATGATCTTGTGGACAAAGGGAGCTTTTGGGGGATATAATTCACTTGGGCCTGGAAATTTAGAACACAACTCACTTATCTTGGGATTCTTGTGTCCCCTAGTGTATATTTTGCCCTTTCATTTTCAATTCTGTGTTTTCTGCTGGAAAAGACAGAGGTTAAAAATAAGGGTTCAGTAGTTCTATTTTTCTTATTTTTTCTCTTCCTGCCTTCTTTTGATCAGTTAATATTATATCATCTTCCCCTAATCAGAGCACCTTACAACGAATATAGTTTGTAAAAAGCCCTTTTGGTATCTCTTGAAAATCTGACAAGTCTTTAAAATTTAGCCTTCTTGACATATTCTCATAATCTAATTATAAGCATCCAATTGGCCTTTCATTGCTGACCTGCCTTGTACTTATTGATATATTCTTTGGGGGAATGGACTTATTGTGCTCCCTGAGTGGGAAAACCGTTCCTTGAGATGTATCTTCATATTCATTCCACAGGAGAAAGATTTGCTTGTTAAATATGAAAAACTAAACCTTTCAAAAATGTCTATCACATGTGAGCTATGTTCATTCCTCTTAAGAGTCTCAGAAACGGAAACATGACCATGTTTTATCTGAACTGTTTAGATTCTACTTTTCTCGTAGAAAGTGCCTCTCTGACAAGCCCAGTGTTCCTTTTCCTGGCTATCTGAATTCAAAGACATGATTTAGTTCAGCTAAAGCTCCAGTCACTTTCATTATCACTTAATTCTCTTTTGTTAAGAAGAAGCTAGTCCAGTTTTTCTTATAGCTTCTTTCACTTTCAGAGGTAAAATTATCAGTTTAGAAAAGCGTTTTCTCAACATCATTACTCATCGAGAAATGTAAATGAAAACCACAATGAGATACCACTTCACACCCGCTAGCATGGTTATACAAAAAAGACAGACGATAACCAGTGTTGGAGAGGATGTAGAGAAGTGAGAACTCATATACACCGCTGGTGGAAATGGAAAATGGTGTATGCACTTTGGGAAACTGTTCGGAATTTCCTCAAAAAGTTAAATATAGAGTCGCCACCTGACCCAGCCATTCCACTCTCAGGTATATACCTAAGAGAACTGAAAACATATGTTCACACCAAAACTTGTACACAGATGTTCACAGCAACATTATTCACAGTAGCCCCAAACTGGAAACAATCCAAATGTCCATCAACTGATGAATGTGTAACAAAATGTGGTTTATCCATACAGTGGAGTATTATTCAGTCACAAAAAGGAACGAAGTACCGATGAAGTACTGCTACAACATGGATGAATCCTGAAAACACTCTAAGTGAAAGAAGCCAGACATGAAAGACCACGTATTATGATTCCATGATTCCATTTACATGAAGTGTCCAGAACGGGCAAACTCATAGAGATAGAAAGTAGATTAGTGGTTGCCAGGGGCTGAGAGGAGGGGAAAAGGGGAGTGGCTGCTGATGCATACGGGGTTTACTTTGGGGAGGGATGATATATTCCGGAACTAGACAGTGGCGATGGCTGCACAACCCCGTGAACGTACGAAAAACCACTGAATTGTAAAATCAGAAGAATCTAAAGAGTCTTGCTGTTAGAAGAAATAGAGTTCTTCCAGATGTCAAGATGATTAAGCTTTCCTATCACCATGTACCTTGACCCCTTATAAATTTTGAAACCCACAGTAGGAAAATATCATTGGCATTCTTCTAACTGGGTTGTCCACAGCATACCACAACAAGAAAATCTTGTTTTCCTCTTATCCTCATCCAAATTCTCTTTATCTTATTTTTCTTCTCACATTCGTATATGGCTACATAGAAGGTACCTTTTTATATTCAGTGTTTCTTCTACTTGATCTGTTTCTTTGGAACACAGTATAATAATTCAATATACTCAGTATACTCTGTTGCTCTGTTCAATCATGAGGGCCACCATACTTACTGTCGTGCGGTTTAAGCTCAATTTGGTTTCCATTTCAAATTCACTTTATTGGTTATAAAGATTAAAACCAAAGATGGCTGGCTAAAAGAGGTTTGCTTCTGGTAAGTGGGACTGCAGTGGGGCCGGAGGCTACTGCCTTTCATCAGAAGGTCCCCAGCTGGATTTGTTATCTTGTAGATATTCTCATGACAAATAGCCCTGAAACTTGGAAATGATAGATGGGAGGATGAAATCTCATTAAGAGAAACAGTTAAGAGGGAGAGAGAACAGAGAGAGAGTCAAAGTAAAAGAATCATATTAAATAGAGGTTTGGGGAGGAAGCATTGTTGAAATCTACCCAAACTTCTTTTTCTCTTATGTTCTCAAATATCTGTAGCCTCCCTTCAATGCATAAGATATAGTTAGGTACGTGAATAAAGCATGGTTCTTGTCCTTTGGGATCTTGCAGGCTCATACAGGAGATAACGCTGCCGGGAGGACAGGATGGTCCAGGTCAGGTGCCTTAAGGGCTGCACAGACAATGTCTGCAGTGCAGGGATACGCCGATTGTATCTGGCTTGTAGGCAGGGACACAGAGGAAGAGGCACTGAAGTGGGAAGGCGGGGTCTTCTTAAAAAGTACAAACTAGAGAGAAGGGAAGGATATTCTAGGCAGAGAAATAGTATAGAAAAGATACAGAGGCAAGAAAATAAATGGTGTATCTCTCGGAGGGTAAAAAAATAATATCCATTCAGCTGGAGCATAAAATCTGCATAAACACATTAACTGAAGATACAGTGGCAGTGGTAAGGTGGCACAGTCGTAGACGTTGTTGAGTGTTGCCTAAAGGCACTGCATAATCATTAAAGCTCTTGAGCTGGGTGGTAATCTGACCAAAGTGGTGTTTTAAAGATGAACGCCAGTGAAGGGCAGGATGGGTTGGAAGGAAGGAAAGGCCAAATGCATGGAACCCAATTAGGGTGACAACAATGTGAATAGAAAAGAGAAAGACAGGAAGACTGTAAAGGAAGGATGAATTAAATTGACTGAATGGCTCTCCACATTTCCACTTCAGTGATGGACAGACTCTGATCCTAGGAAGTTCTGGGTTTCTGCCGTGATCCATCCTACGTCAGTAGGATCACCAGTGGATCTGATACTATTCAGCCTCTTAGTGGTTCGTTGTTGACACTATTTGGAGAGGGGCAGATAGGTGCAAAGTGGGTAATTCAAAACCATTTTCATTTGGATTTGAAAAGGGTTCTGTGCGTCTGCCACCTCCTGGGCACTGTCTGCACTAGCTGGTATTGAAAGGAATCTCTTATCTGAAATGACAGTCCTTCTCATTGGGTGAAAAGGTCCCAAAGCTCACAAGTGTGCAGGGGAAGGCTCCCCACTATCAAGAGTTCAGAGTGTAGGATTCACAAAGTGGATAACCACTTCTGAAATACCAGCTCAGGAACGAGGCTAAGGGGCTAATTTTGTTGCAGCAGATTAGAGAGAAATTTGCTGTAGTGTCAGAGGGATCTCTGGATAAGGTAGGCATTAATACGTTGCCCCGCACCCCGACTCACGAAGGCTCCTCTCATCCTGGGAATAGCATCTGCCCTATGTGGAAGTGATGCCAAGGATGGTCCTCCATGGCAGGGAGCCCCGTGTGAGGGACAAGGATGCTACAAAGAGGGAACTGAGACAACAGATTTCACTCAAAGCCAAGGGTCCTCCGATCAAATCCTGGCTGGGAAAACAGATGAAAATGAGATTTCCTTCTATTATATTATTTTCATTCTCCACCTCGGTGTGAATGGGGGTGTGAGCGTGTGTGGTACGTGCACCAGTGCATGTTTTGCTCCCCAGAGACTTCAGCCTGGCTCATTTGCAGGGTGAGGCCCGAGGGAATTAGTCAGCTCCGGAACCTGCTTTGTGAACCCACACACAGCCACTGGCCCTTCCCAAAAGGTGGACTTCCCAAGCCATTCAAATTTTAAGAATATGTGGCTGATATTCCCACACAATGTGCATTTCACATGAATACATTCCTTTGCCTTATTTGGTCTGAAAGAATACAGCAGATTCCAGAATCTGGAGCACGAAGATGAGTACCGTTTGGAAGCACAGCGTGTAGGAGTTGAGTTCCTGCATACAGAGGCTCTACCAACAGCTGCATCTCTTTGGATGTTCTGGTCTCAAAGGAAATGATCCTACCTGTGTGTCCCCCGCCTTGCCTCTGTAGTCAAGCATTTCTGTGTACAGAGGCTGTCCTCCCTCCCACAATGTGAAATTGGCCAGATTGAGGAGTGCTGGGTGGAAGGGGAGGGCTCCGGGATGCTTCCTACCTTGGCAGGCACCCTGAACTCTCCATATTCCTTCAGCAGCTCCTGAGTCTCCTCTGCGGTCTCCCCCGGGGAGGTATGTGTTGAGAGGTAATATTCACCTGTTTCTTGGATCCAGTCCAGCGCCTGTAGGAGGAAACAACCCATTCAGTGCCCCAAAAGCCAGCTGTTAGTAAGAAAACATTCCATGCTCTGATGTGAAGGTTTGTAGTTTGGGACAGCATGATGGGCCTAGGAAATGCCGGCACGATTCAATCAGTATGTAGCGTGGAAGTTGATTTTATGAAAGAGCCCTCCCCTGTTAGACCTGGAACAACCCACCAGCAAAGAGAGTGTCTTGTCCATTGGACTGGGGACCCTTCTAGGCCAGGCCCAGTGTCATCTATGAGTTAGAGCAATCTGCCCCCAGCATCTCCTCCCAACTCCTGGTACCAGACTCTGAACAGAGTGCCAGGTGAAGGCTGAATGGCTGGTCAGCACAAGGATGCTTTCTTCTTTCCATCCCCACCTCCCGTCTCTACTCTGCCTGCTCCTATGACCCTCTTGAGGACTGTCCCAAGTCTTGGTCACCTAGGCCTCTGTATGGTCCCCAGAACTGAGGCAATGCCAGGGAAAGCTCTGAACATACCTGCTTGGCGCTTCGCTCAAACACCACGTATTGCTGGCACTGGTCTAACCGCCGCTTCTTCAAGGTCCAGAAGTGCAGGACACGGTTCTCCCTCTGTAAGAGCTCACTCAGGATGGCTGCAGGGCAGAGAGATGGGCGCTGGTCACAGGAAGGTCCTGAGCAAATCTGACTGGCTGCTTCAGCCCCGCTCCCACGTGCCAGATAACTGAGACCTTCAAGTCTCCCCATCGGACTGATCCAGCACCAGAAGCAAGGGAGCAAAAGTTTGGTCCAGAGAGCATTTCCCAGAGATCAGGGAGACTGGGGGAGGGCCTGTTGATGAGGTTCCATCAATGAAGGGGGGAAGAGGATGTCCCCAGGGTGACTTAAAAGTGACTCTGATTCTCTTCACGCCAAAGCTAGTCCTTGATGATGAGAGACCTTGGGAATGATCGGTGCTGAAAATAATAGCTAACATAACTGGCGCCTGGGAGCCTGCAGAGAGTGAACGGACTTGACAGGAACACCAGCCACTCTAGAGGGCTTCTAGGAGAGGGCCAGAGGGGAACGGCATGAGGACTGGGGTAACGGCATGAATAGCCATGTCACTTGCCACGAGCTCTGTCCCATACAAGGGGCTGTGCACTTAGCACTTCAACAGCACAATCTCAATTTTAAAACCTCTAAATTATGGGCCTAGGGAAGCTATGTTGGAATCACGTCATCACGGAATCATGTCTCTAGGCCCAAACTTCCATGCTGGTTGGGACCGATCATAAGAAAAGCTAAAAGCTATTCTCACGTCATCTCTAATGAAGGTGAGTGCGAGGATGTGTACAAGGCATGGGGCACCACGGTGGCCGTGGGAGCTGTTTGTCCATGTCATGTCCCTCCCTCTCTCTACTTCTGTTGTTCTAGAAGCAGCTGGTTATGTGGATGGATTTCTGAAGTGTCTAATAGTCTGTCCTAAGCTTGAAGCAATAAAATTTATTTTGTGTTGTTTGCCTCCTGCTTCCTGCTAACTATATTAGATACTAATAAAATACACAACAATGATGCTATGGAAAGCTAACACTTATTCAGTACTCACTATGTGGCAGGTACGTATTTTCACAGTACCTCAGGATGCATGGACCACTATTATCTCCATTTTACAGATGAAGAAACTGAGGCTTAGAGAGGATAGGAAACTCGACCAGGGTCAGTCAGATAAAGGGGTAGAGCTATTTGACTTAAGAGCCTGGGTCCTTAGCCACCTTGATCTACGGAGTTATTGTGCTCTACAGAAAAGGCACAGCCCAAATTGCAGGGCTTGTACTTAGAAGTTTTTGTTGACTTTGTGTACTTTTAATGCCCTACGGAAGTTTGGCTCTCTAAGGACAGAATCTGTCTCTCCTCTCTTAGGCTCAGAGCTTTTATGGTCCCTATTATTCACCTCTCCCTATATCTCTGCCCTTATTATATGTAGCTTTTTAGTTCCTCCCCAAAGAGACAAAGTGTACTTCCTCACCCCCGAATTCAGGCTCAGTCACATGACTTTCTTTGGCAAATGGGCTGTTAATAGATAGGACACAACGAGGGGCTTGAAGTGTGCTTGTGCACTTGAGCTTGCCCCTTAAACCTCTGCCATCACCTCTATAAGAAGTTCTCCTGGGTAACCGCTGCCCCTTCAACCAAAGTCCCAGAATTAATCCGCATGGAGCAGACAAGAACCCACCCTGCAGTGAAGGGGCCAAGCCAGCCAGACCTGCAGCCTCAAGCAGAATCGCATCACTGAGCCCAGCCAAGGCAGCTGGTCCCCAAGCCAACATAGTCATTGAATGATAAATGCTTATAGCTGTAGGCCACTGAATTTCAGGCGTTGTTATGCAGCAATAATTGCTCCTGTAATAAAAACTTAAAATAAGTGGCACTGGTTTTGGGTCCAGGCAGCAGGTGGAAAGGAAATGGCTATAGGAGAGATTGTAGGTCCCTGCTCAGGTGGAAGCTTCCATTGGGCAAAGACAGTGAGAACCTGTGTTTCCTTTATTACTCTTTTTGTCTCCTAGTCAGAGTTTTGTTCACTGAGGTCCCTCTGTGGTGGCTGAGAGAATCAATCCAGCTCAGGTGAAAATCCTAATGAGTTTCAGGTTTCATTTGTGCCCCATCTGGTAAACTTTCCTTTGGGCAAACCCTGCCCTGGCCCCCACGGAGGTGCGGCACATCCTGCTCACCCTGGGTGGCCGCCACTCTCAGCACACAGGGGCGGGGGCGGGGTGTGTGCACTCTCAGCAGGCAGCTGGCCTCACCCGAGCTGCCACCTGCACTTGGACATCAGAACACAGGCTTTGAAAAATCTGCAGGAAGGGGAAGGTGACATAATGCTAGCCACCCACAGGGCCCCTCGGCTGCAAACAGGGTGGCACATCTGGAAAAGGAATGCTACTTCCCTCTTCTCTGTAGGGATCTTTGATTACTAAGTTTAATTCTCCCCAGTGGCCTCTGATCTTCGCACCTCCTGAGTTCCTTGAGCAGGAGAGAGGCCCTTCCCAGAGCAGGTCCGAGCTTCCCTCTGTCTGCTCGGCAGCTCGCCAAGCCGGTCCCCACTCCCCACTCCAAGTCAGCGTCACTTCCCTCCCTAGCCTTGGTCTCTGGGATTGACTAGTGGCCATGTACTGCACAGTGTAGATACCTAGAGACCATCTGTCATTTCAGAAAATTCTATTAGCGGTGTTCTCAACTCTTAAGATAAATGCAAAAGCTCTGGGGAAATTTTACAGTCATTTTCCCATCCCAAATCCTGAGGCATGTTGAATCGCCACCACCCACACCATCCCACGTCACACTTCTTCTCATGCAAGGAGAAGAACCAGGAAATCTGAGGTCACATGAAGACCAAGTACCCAGGCTCTGGTCCATGCGGCTGAAGTGGCTCGAGGCCGGCAGGGCTTGCACTGACCTTTCACTTGCTGCTCGGGTCCTCGGGTGTGACTGGCGGCACTGGGCATGCTGACATTGTTCCTGTGGATGTACTTGAGAAAGACCTCAGCGTTCCGCCGTGCCAGGGTGCAGGCCTGAGAGAGACAAGGTGTGAAGCCCCACACGTAAGTCCGGGTCTGGTAGGGGCACATGATCTAAGACACTGGAGAAGGGGTGCTGGTGATGATGCTTCTGGGGCTCTGGGGGAACAGAGCCCTGGGGCAACTTCCAGTTTATGCATACTCCAGTTCCAATGCAGGAGACTCACTCACTCTTTTGTTGAGTAAAGAAAAGCTCCCTGTGCCTCTCCCCTTTCCATCACAGACAAAACCAGAAATCAGCCACCCTTTGACTACTACGTGTTGATTCAGCGTGACCACCTGAGAGTGACTCTCAGGTTGGTTTCCCTCTGCCACCAGAATGCCTCGTATGTGACCACTGGTGTAAGCCACTTTAACATTAGCTTAATTTAGACTTGAGAAAGCAAATTTAGTGATCAAACCTATTAACTGTATGTTCCAAATCTAAATGGAAATTGCCCATATTTTAGAAACATATTTGTCCATCAAACCCACCCCCGCCTCAATAAGACTACTAAGGATCCTACTGCTGGGAAATATCAGTCATGTAAAGGGGTAAGAGCCATTGTACCGCCCCCTTAAGACTCACAAGAGTGGTGGGTAGCAGAGAGGACAGGTCTGTCCCATGCTATTGTACCCAATCCAGGCCCAGCAAGGGCAGGAGTCATGAAGCAAGTCAGGGCTAGGATCTAGGTCTACCAACAGAGTACTTCTAGTTTCTCTCAAGACAAGAGATTTTCTGAATTTCTTTAAAAAGCAGTATTTTTCCTGATGGTAGAGGTAATACACGCTAGTCCATTAATGTTCAATCCACAGTTTTCAGAATTAAATCATCTCTAGACAAAACTGCTAACTTTTAAACGTCTTTATACTTAGCATCTGATTCTACAAATCATATGGTAAAAAAATTACTTTAAATGTTGCATTCCCAACAGTGGCTTCTGGGAGCTCTGGTAAAAGACTGCTAGTGGGTCCTTCCACTCTGAGGCCCATGAATTTAACAGCTGGACAGCGGTCCAAAGCTAAGGAATCCAAAATCAACTAATGTATACACATGGAGAGCTCGCTCGGAAGTCCATTGGGCTTGTAATTCCCACAACAATAAGGAGTTTTTCAACTATGGTTTTAGGCACATATGGAAAACATCAGAACATTTTCTTTTTTCCTTCTTCAAAAGAAACATTTAATTTTATGAAGACATACCTTTATACTTCTATTTAAAATATCTGACACGCCCTACATAAATTGTTTTGTTTTAAACTTTGTTTCATCATAGGGAAGACTTTTAAAATCATCTTAAGCCCTGTATGGAAGAATTTCTATTTAATCCTGTTAGTAAGAGCTGATTACTAAGAGGTCTGATCAAATGTGGGTACAGATACCAGATAGACGGGAGAAGGGCAGGGAGAGGTCATCTTTAAAAAAGAATAAAAATAAAACTTAAAGAGGTGGTCAAGTAGAGAAAATCCCTAATAAAAGAAAGGCAGTTAATTACAGAATTGTAGAAAATCAGTGGCAACATGTCAGGGTATAAAAATTCTCTTTTGTGCTTTCAGAAACCTGAAAGGAAGCAGCACATGAAAGCAGGGAATTTGAGAGAAAATGGAGCCTTTAGATAAGTTTTAACACTGAAGGCTCTGTTAGAGAGGAGATCAAAGGCAGGAGGAAAGAGACTTAGGAGAACTTCCCACACCAGCTGAAAGCTATTCAGAGCAGGACTGTGCTTCCTCTCTGGGAAGCTAAGGCTCTTTTAAAAACAAAACAAACAAAATAAGGTATCTCTCTCTTCATACAGCACAATAAACAGTGTTACATTCATTGGTAATTGGTAATCATGAGACTGATAAATAAATAAGATGTCTGAATGTATTTCTTTAACTCTTGCCCTAAATTTTGCATCATCCATTTATAAAAGATGTATTTTAATAGTTTTCTATCTAGGCTTATATATTTCAATTAAAATATTTTTATAGATAAATGAAAGTAGGTATTTTTCTCACTTCACATCAATGGGATATCAGGATATTTGTACATGGCACCAGTAGAAACGAAGCATCCTAATTGCCTAATTACACAAAAAAGTGCTGAGAGAAATAAAGAATGTTTGAACTGTAACCTTTCAACTTTTCAAATTAACCAGCCAATATCCCCTCTACAAATGCCTTCTTTAGATAAGAAGCTAGAAAATAGAGGGGTATGGGAAGCCCACATGAAACAGTGAGAGAGAGAGAGAGAGACAGAGAGACAGAGACAGAAAGGAGGAGGCGGAGGCAATGGGGAGAGTGAGACAGCAGATAAAAACCAAGACTAAAGTCCCAGACCTTGGATGACAATGTGCTCTCACCTTAAGAAAGGCCTCCTTTTGTTCCAAATGTTTACTGATGAGTGGGATGACGTGGTCGATCTCTGCTGCTGGCCCCAATTTATCTCGTCCACCACACCAGTCCTCATCTCTCCGGTATTCTTGCTCTAAGCTCTCCAGGACACTACAGACCTAATGAATCATGGAGGAAAAACTTAGTAATTTAATCATTTAAAGGTCCTATTTTATGAGGACCTTTAGCTAAGAGACCCCTACAGAAGTGACATTTTTCATTCAAAATCTAATTTGTAGACTTAGGTGCACAGTGCCCCTGAGACATCTAAGAAAAGTCCAGGAGGCAGTGAGAATCCAGCGTCTGGAGCTTGGGAGACAAATGACTACCGAGATATGGATTTTGGGATTATCTTCTGACAGTTGATGGTTGAAAGCTGAAGCTATGGGGGTTGATGACATCACCTAGGGATAGTATGCAGAGCAAGAAAGGAAGAGAGACTAGTAATTTGGGGGGTTTCAAAGTGTTTTTATATATTATATTGCTATAATCTTATGATACGTCTATGAATTAGGTAGAACAGGAGAAAGAGGTTTGCAGAAGATAACTGGGTTGCCCAACTATCTGTCCTTGCCCTACAGGAAATAGCCTCAAGTAGAGGTAAAGGAGGAAGTTGCCTATGTTGTGTGACTTATGGGCCATAAATGAATGTTACCTTTTCCCTCCCTGGGGAAAAATATTCCAGCAAAATTGTTTCAAGGTACTACTATAAGGCAATGACATCTCCAGGCCTGCTATTATAAAACGCACATTTCCTTCAGAGGGATAACAAATTTGGGCTGACCTAAAAGATAGTTAAGATGGTTTTTCAGTTCTAAAAATGCTGAGAGGCCATGCTCTAAGTGACCTTATAGATGAACTCAAAAGACCAAAAGCATTTCAAATGGGGCTTAGAGGGAAAGTTAGGTTGAGTGCATCAGTAGGAGAGCAGGGCAGCCTAGTGTCAGGGCTTAAGGAAGGATGCAGAAAATAGAAACTCATTCCTATACTTTCCTTCAATAGTCTGTGGCAGCAGGGGAGAGCAGCTCTAACTACCCTTGGCCTCCTCTGTCTGAGAAAGGCATCTCTTTTGGTGAAGGACGTGGCATTGGATAAGATGCTTTCTGAGTTATGAACTGAACTGAAAAATAAGCTGAAAGGTGTCCCAGGCAGAACACCCCCATAGCCTACATGCTTCCCATGTCGTGAGGAGGCCTATCCCTGAACTCCAGCCGGTTTCTTTAGCACCACACACCTCTCCTGTTGCAAGGCCTGAAAACATGCAGGAGGCTCACGTCTTGAGAGAAAACAGATTATACACACACAAAAACTTTAAGAAAACGAGTACTTGACACCTATCCCATGACAGTATTGGACTTAAAACCAATCAATTTGGGAGCTAGAGGAAATGGAAAGATTATCCAGCATAAGTCCTCTAATTTAATAGGTGAAGAAACAGAAATCTAGAGAGATAAAGTGACCTTTGGTAAGGTCATTTCAGGGTCAAATTTCCTGACTCAATCTACTGCTTTGTCCCCTTCAGCATCTTGAACCATCTCAAATTGAAATCTGTATATGATATTAGACAGGGGTTAAGCCTCATTTTTTTCATATGGATATTCAGTTGTCTAGCACCATTTGTTACAAAGACTTTACTTATTGAATTGCTTTCTCAGAAATCAACTGACTGTATATATGTGGGTCTACTTCTGGAACCTCTACTCTGTTCAACTGTGTCTATTCTTACACCAATGCCATTCTGTCTTGACCACTGCAGCTTTAGGGTAAGTCTTAAAATCAGGTAGTGTAACTCCTTCAACTTTGTTCTTCCTTTTCAAGACTGTTTTGGCTATTTTAGTCTCTTTGCATTTCCATGTAAATCTTAGAATCAGCCTATCGATTTCTATTAAAAAAAAAAAAGCTTGCTGGGGTGTGATTGGGATGTGCTGAATTTACAGATCAACTGGAGAAGCTCTTTATCTCGTTAGTTTGCTGCTCCCACTTCCGAGGCCATCAAAGGCATCATCTCTCTGAAACACTGAAAGGAGGACTGAGAGAAGGTCTGAAGATGAATACTGGCTGCAGGGCCCTCTGACAGGCATGTTATGTTTGCTCTGAGATAGACTTTCCCATGGTCCCTGTAAGTCACCCAGAGGAGAAGGTTTCTCTATTTCTACCAGGGAGTGATTTGAATGAGGAAATTATTTTATACTGAATAAAATTACTCCTGTCTTAAACCTCTGTTTCATGAAAAGAGTCCCCTAACAGCACCCAAATCATTTAAAAATCCTCTTAGCCCTTGCGCATATTGCTGTACAGATGTACTAGTAATGGGTTTGCATTTTTATGGCCCTGCTGTAGGTGTCTCCTACCTTTTCTCCCACAGCTGCACCATCCTACCAGTTAGGCTCACAGTTCTCCAATGACAGAAAGCTGTGTTTCCTTATTAGACTGGGAACCCCATGAATGAAAGAGCTGTATGTTTTTCAAGCAGTGCATAGTGCTTGATTGTGGTAAATTAGACTGTGTTCAGCAAATTGTCACTCTCCCCTCCCAACCTTCACAGGAGACATATACTGCCATGCTTGGTTGATGTTGGCTTGGCCATGTGACTTGTTTTGGTCCAAAGGATGTTAGAGCATGTGACACAAGCAGATTTGAAATGCACTTGCACAGTAGATTTTGGGTTCTTGCACTCCTGCTTTTCACCATAAATATGCCTCAGGTAAGCTGCTGGTCCAGAAGGAGAAATATAGGAACAGATCCAGACCCAACCTGCAGCTTGGAGCCTAGTTCTACCAAGCTCAGCCGAGATCAGCTGAACACCGGACACTTAAACAAAAAATATGTGCTTATTGTTTTATACCACTGGGTTGAGGGGTGATCTGTTACACAGCATTATTGTGGCAAGAGCTAACTAGTACACCACTCAAACTTGGCACTCAGCCTACACCTACCCAGTTTCTACTTCAACACCGAAATCCTGTGAGGTTGAGAAATTTGTAAGAAACAAATCACACAGTCCACTCCTCTAATGGAAAGGATTATAAGGAAGCAAACCATGGTATTTCCACAGATCATTCTTCTACTCTCAAAGGCTAGTACTGAGAGGAGTGGCTTCTTGCTGAGGAAGATGCTGCAGATTTGCAGTGTGAGGCAGAAAACAGTCCTCCGTCAGTCTCAGCCCCACACATTCCACAGCCCTCTCCCTCACCTGCTCAGAAGTTTTGTAAAAGGCCACTGAGGCATTGACCAGTTTCAGCCGGTCTTCCATCTTCAGCATAAGCTGCTGCCAGTGGAGGGCCACCTTCTCGGCACATTCCCGGATGGCGTCCGCGTCGTAGTGGCCAGCCTGGAGCAGTGCCTCAGCTTTCTGCTGTACCTGCAGGGCACTCTGGTGTGTCTTCTGCAAGGAAGTGGCATGAAAGAGGGACTGGGCACAAGGGGAGGAGAGAGAGGTCCGTGGGAACGACCCAGGCGTGGTATGGGAGGGGGTGGAGTGAGGCGTGAGTGGAAAGATGCAGAAAAGTTAAAGAGCTTTAAATGACTGATTCAAACATGTTGTCATCATTGTTTCTTAAGCATATTTTTAAAAAGAATATCAAACATTTTCATTAACTAGTTGTTCAGGTCCCTAACTCCTGCCCCTACTCCTTTCTCTTTACTTGCACCACTCTGCATTTTAAAGACATTTCAGTTTCTGTGCTAGAGAAACGCAGTTGTGTATAAATCTGCTTCCTGATTGATTCATCCATTAGTTAAATTTCCTTTTCAAATCTAATCATAAAATTATTCATCATGAATTTTCAAAGGAGGTTACTGCTGTAGTCCCATTCTGCAGATCAAATAAACACAGCCCATAAAAAAGATCCCCAGGTCACACAAATCTCAACCAACAATGCAATCATTTTAAACATGAATGATCAGTTTTAAAAAGGTTCCAGTAGAAGGAAGACATTTGGCAGGTTAATAAAGTAGAAGAGTAGCATCTCACACCACCTCTTAGTTACCAAGGGAAAAGAGCAGCACAGTAGATAATTCAGCTTAACACATCATCCCACATTACTACCTTATTTATGTTTGCCTTTAGGATAATCTATATTGTAGAAGGTTTGTTTCTTATTCAGGGTAAGTGTCATTCTCTGAGTTCACTTCAACTGTAGGGGGTGGGGAGAACAGGTTGGAGAACTGGGTGGCAGGGAGAGAGCCAAATGGGATCACAATGTATTAAAATAAAGGACGGATGTGGATGAGCCATACGACTTCAGAGAGCTAATATTATCCCAACTTCAGCTGCTGGAATCATTTCAACCCAATGGCACAGGACTAATTTGGCCTTTGCACTTTCAAAGTAGAGCTTAGCTGGCAGTGGAGAAGAGCAGCTAGAAGCCCAGCACCTCACTCCAGAATGATTTCTGCCCTTCTTGGGCTGCAGTGTTGGGACAGTTCCCCAGAGCGAATCCATCAGCCTCCTGTGTGTGAGTACAACCTCCCCCTCTTCTCACCTCTGTCTCCCCCTTCACCTTCATTGCAGATGGCAGCCTGTCTAGAGAGTCTATCAACCACCTCCTGGTTGCCCTCCCCCGCCCCACGCCTGAATCTGTCCTCAGTGTCAGCTATGTTAGCACGACCTCCTCCAGCAGCCTAGACTCCTTTATTCCCTGGCTTTGCCACTGAGTCGGGCTTCAGTCCCGAGGACCACATTAGCATCTGGGTTCCTAATTGCTGGATGAAGCTAGAAAAATAAACTAACAAGTAGACACGATCCACTAAAAATCCTTGGTTTCTTTCTCTGTTTTACTTATTGGTACCATTTTCTTTCCCCGCCTCCTAAATGTAGAGGCACCCCAAGGTCCATTCTTGGTTTTGGTTCATGTCTGTAGAGTTCTCATCCTTTCCCTTGGCTTCTAGCATTTCCTCTTTGTAAATGGCTCTCCAATCTATATTTCTCGCCTGATATCTGAGCCTCGTCTTTAATTGTCTTCGGATGTGAGGGTGAGCTGCCTGTCACACCTCTCACCTAGGTCAGTAGCACTGATTCGGATGATCTAGCTGCCTGCCCCATGTTAGTCACTGACAAAGATGCATTCTCAGGAGAAGTGAAATATCTTCCCAGAGAGAAGAGGAACCCTTGCCAAGGAATGAGAATGGCTTTACTGTCCAGTCAGAGCCTCCACCTTCCTCCCAGATGTCTGCTCAAGTTCCACACCTAAACCTAAACTCCTCCTCCCTCTGAAACAGTCTTCCACGGCAGTCCACCATCCTGTTGACGGTGCCCTCCTCACTCCATCTAGGACCACTGTCTTGTCATCATCCTTGCCTGCTGCTCCTCGGCCTGAAACCCAGTCCAGCTCTCACCACTTTACACCTAGGCCTCTGTGGTGGTCACCTGACTAGTCTTCTCCCGCCTTCCATTTCTAACCCATCGAACCCGTCCCTTACATTTCTGACAGATTCTCTCTAACAGGAAGTGCTTCAATTAAGAGAATCCTAACATCCTTTCCAGTGCTAAAACCCTAATTTTATGCTCTAAACATCACTTCCATCTCTCAATTCACACGCCTGCAATGGTTCACCCACTGCTATGAAATCAAGTCCAAACTTTAGAGGATGTTATGAAAAGCCCCTCACACTGTGGTCCCAAGTACTTCATTATCACGTAGTACTACTTCCTTCTAAAGACCATCTGAAAACAAACTTGCCATTGCCATCTTCATTCTCCCTGCCTTTAAGGAACACATCTTAGAATCTCCTCATCTGTGATCCCGTCTCCCTTGGAGACTCAGTTCAGATCCAACCTCCTTCGAAGAGGCCTTTTTGGACAGCCTGAGACTTACTAAAAACTACCCTCTTCTGAATACCTATATCACTCATCTAACGCCTGGCTGATTTTCCTTACTTAAGACAGTGAAACTCTCAAGGCAAGGACTGTTTTTAAAAAATCCCTTTAATAGCTGTCATTTAACCAGGTATGTATTCTGTGCTAGGAACTGTACTTATGCATTTTTTTCCTAGTTCTCATAATACTACTCCAAGGTGGATATTATTATTCCCATTTCACAGATTAAGAAACTGAGACTCAGGCTGGTTAAGGGACTTGCCCAAAAATGTACATCCAAGGAAGTGATGAAACCAGATTCAGGTTTGACCTATTCCCAAATCTATGTCCTTTCCACCATATCACACCATATCATTTCATCTCTAGCAATTAGAACGGTATCTACAGTTTCTCATTCAGAGAAAGGGTTCACCAAGTGAACGTTAGTGATTCTGATAATTATTTGGCCTCTCCTCAGTATATGAAACCAGCATATAATTGTCATCATAAATTGGTTATTATATATTTTCTCTGAGAATGGAGGAGATAGAGGAGTAACTTTCATTTTCCTATAATTTATGCTGTGTAACAAATCCTCTTCCTTATTCTGAAACTCATTATTATCTAATAGTCCTGGGAGCCCCTTCTTCCCTTTGATTACCTAAATGATAAACTCTTATGCATATGACATAATCTCTGCTTTGCTCAAGCTTGAGTCATTATTTTGCATTTATTTCTACTATTATCTAATCCTATTGAGTGCTGTATCTTTGAGACATGGATTATCAAGGATGTTCATATTTAGTAGGAGGACATGGAAGAAAACCGAACCAAATCAACTGAATTTATTATCCAGTTTTAACTACTGTTTCTGTCACAATGCTTATGCTTAAAATACATAAGAGGATTTCAAATAAAAATGGATTTTAAAATCAAGTGTGTCTCTATGACGTTCACAGTTCTTGAAGACACATCAGCCACAACATTTGGATACTAACAAACAATAATCTGGGTTTGTTGATAAAGCTATGCTTCTGGAGAGCTGTGTACTGCTCTGCACTCTGAATGGCTCTGGGGAACTTTTTCTGTAACCAAGGCTACCTCAGGTAAACATTCTGACCTTCTTTAAGGAGACCAAAACCTTCAGACTGATGAGGCCACCAAAGCTAGGGTGAGCAAACATCTTGGTTTGCCCATGAGAGTTCTAGTACATGCTGATTTTCCTGGCTTAGTTATTAACAATTCCCTCCTTCACTCTTAAAAGTGTCTCAGTTCTAACAATAACTTATATGATCATCTTACCTATAGCCATTTTTATTTTCCCTTCTGGAGCCCAGGGTTCTTTCTTAGGGCTCAAGAAGTCAAATTATGTTCCCTGTCAGTGATCACTGTAAAGGCCTCCAGTAACAGTATCAAAATGGGTTAAATCAAACCAGACTAGTTAGATCTCCTATCAACTTGCTTAAATCCCCTGGTGTACATTCCCCCAATGCAGAACCTGGCCTAAACTGACACATTTAGAGAGAAGCACAAGCCATCTGGAGAAGGAACGTATGTTGAAATTCTGGCTCTGTTCTCTTCAATATCCTAGCCAAGCTGCAGACCCTGCCTACCTTCCATTCCCAAGGTCTATGAGAAATCCTATCTATTCTGCCATGTCCCCTTGAGTCCACAGACATAAACTCGACTGGAGTCTATATCTCAACATCTATTCTAAGAATATTTGATCAAGTTGCATCCATGAAATTAAAGAGATATAGATGCTTAGTGGGCCTCTATTCTGTTAAGGATGCAACAGCATCTAATACAAATTCATACACACTGCATATGCAAGTCAGGTGGAATTTGGTTATTTCAATAGCATTGCTAATGCATTTACCCACTATTTTCTACTAGCTCATTGAGATACTCAAGGGTGTCATAACGCTTGGTTTTTGGTGTTTTGTTTTGTTTTTTTTTGTTTGTTTGTTTTATAATGCTTGGTTTTACTTGCCCAACGTTTGATTAAGGGACTGAAAATTTAATTACCTGATGGGGCAGGTAAACCTCCACATTCAAGATAGGCAACGAGGAGGTATCGCCAAAGGCTGTTCTCTCTCTGCCTAGCATCCCTCACAGCTTCATGCCAAGCCTTGAACGTGACTGCCCAACCTTCGTTCTCTTCACTGCTGCCTCTCGATGGGGTTTTGACCACTGTGTGCCTAATCCTTGATTATAATCCCAATCTTGATTTTTTCCTTTACAATGAATAGATTCCAACACTCTAATATTTGGGCATGCCAGTAAAATGCAACAGAGCTGATGATAAAACTTCTTTCCTCTGGTTAGTTCTTCCTTAGAAAATAATTTGTCCATACTGTGTGTGTAATACACAGTTTATTTTTAACTCTCAAATCTCAGACAGGAGTCTGGTATGAGCAAGGGTTCCTAAGAAGTTATCAGACATCTTAGAGAAATATATCATTCATATCAATGCTATGTTTTCACATACAAGATAGCTTTTGGAAAATTAAATGGTTGAAATCAATCAATACTAGCTTAAAAATAGCTAGCAATCAGTTGGATCACTGTATTAAAGATATACTTATTGGCATGGACAGTTAAAATTTTATCATTGTTGTGTTTTTTTAGTAGAAGACAATCACCTTTGCATTTCTTACACACTCAGAAGTGGGTTAAGTTTTATACTGAACCACAAGTAATGGATGTCTTTGAGGTTTTCACTCCTTATCTCTTTTCCCATTGGTACTGAACTTATTTTATTTTTAACATAGTTCCCATGTCCCATTTCCTACTCTTTTCCCTACACCACTCTAGAACAATCAGTTCGAGTCTCTTTGGGAAGGAAATGTTCTAGTAGAAAGGATAATTAAAGATATTATTTAAAGCAAGACAACATTTATATTAGACTATCGTAAGTGGAGTCTTATTTTAAAATAGCCTTTAAAACAAGCCTTGGTGAGTTTCTGGTTTCAGTTTATTCTTTAAATATGACTTCCACCAGCATTACTGAACAACTATTTTCAGTGAATCAGACTATCTAGTACAGTCTGCTCCCGTGCTCACTACTCTTGTTAAAAGGCTGATCTGACAATGGAATCTAAATGTCACATGTAAACCAAACGTTTAAAAGTGGAATCCTAGTTTACTAATGACTTCTGCAGTTCTTTATCCTCAATCCTGAGGGAGCTTCAACTAGAGGTGACTTCTAACCTTTTAGCTTTGCATTTCTCACATGGTGCATAGTCCATAATGTAGAAAAAACTCAGTGGACCAGGGGCCTTGAAAGTGAAAGGTACCAATAAGTAAGAAAGATCCACATTTGGAGTGTGAATACTTGTCTTCCAATACCAGGCTTCCCTGGGGTGATGAAGCCCTGCATTTGTTTCTCCATCAATTCCTGGGTCATAGGGAGGCTACCTGGCCCATTTCACTAGAAAGAGTAATGGCTTCACCACATAAAGGAAGACCCACATCTTGAGGAATCATCCTGCCTAAGGTGCAGAGTAGAGAGGGGAAGGGAGGACAGTGCAGCCAGATTTGGGTGTTACCTCGATGGCCAGTTGGAACTGCTCGTGTTCCCGCTGCAGCTGCTCTGCTTCCGACAAAGAGCTGGCGTTGACCAGGCTGGCGTTGAGCATTGACTCCCCATTGCGGATCCATCCCAGGACCTAGGGAGTTGGGACAAGAGCACAGGTGAATGGCCTTTCTGTGACAGGCCCTTCAGTCAGAGAGCTTGCTATCTCCTACCCACAGTTGAAGACAGGACAGGAAGAGTCTGGATAATTAAAATCTCCTTAAATTTGCCTCATACCTTGCACCATAAGGTACTTATTTTAAGTACCAACCTCATTCCCAGCTTCATCTTTTCTTTCCTACCCTTATCACTCCTCAATCCCAGGCTCCTCAGCCCCTTAATTTAAACATTACTTCATCTGATTGCATTGTATGTATGTTTCCGAGGTTCCATCTGGAACATAGTACGGTATAAATAAATAAATTCCATCTGTTGGTATCCCTTTCATTTTTTTAAGGCCCAATTCAAATATCAACAACTGCTTGAAATCTTCTATACCTAACCACTCCCATTAGGAACAATCTCTTCGTCATCTAGTGAAACCCAGATCATTTTGCATGTACCACCTTTGTGGCACTCACCAAAGCCTGCCTTATTCAGTTATTTCGACCTATGTTTCATCTCCTCCCCTTACAATGTAAACTTCCGCAAGACCAGAGTAATATATGAGTCATATTTTAATCTCACCCAATGCCTAGCACAGTACCTTTCATACGACAGGTATGCAGTCACGTGTTTGAAAGAGTGAAAATACCCAAGTCACCGTGGAAAATACCCAAGTCACACCTGAGCAGTGTGTCCAACCTCCTATACCTTGCAAAATAGCCAAGAGTAGACAGGTTTGAGCTTTGATTGGTTAAACAATCCAAAGGGAGGAGAAATAAAACAAGCAAAATAGCATGAATCATCCATACACTGGATCATTAGAAAAAGGGAGAATATGTTATAATTGATTTAAATTATTTAGAGGCAATGGCTAGGCTGAGTAAAATTTCTAGGTGACCTTAATTAGTCCTGGGGGAAAGAAAACTCAGCTAGGGAATATTAAAATAGAAGGAGAAATAGCTGACACTGTCTAGACAGTCCCAGCTAAAATAGAGATGTGGCAATAATCCAGCTAATAGAGTCAAGTGCAAATAATCAAACTGGAAGTAACAGGCCTTGAAAATCTACCTTGTGTTTGGTCATCAGAAAATTGCCAAATATTTGCTTTATTAAGGAGTCTGAGAGTTTGCTTGGAGAGGAAATAAAAATTCTTCTGAAACGTTAAGATCAGTAAATACCATCCATCTGTTCCCTCAAGGCAAAGCAGAAGACACCACAATCTGTTTCAGATTTTTTTTCTTCTTCTCTCAACTTCTTCATGTTAAACAATTAGAAAAATATTAAGTCTGGTCTCCTATTCCATAACCCTCACAGGCATTCCTCAAATGTCCTCCTTAGGCAGAAAATGACTGATACCATATTGTGCATGGATAACATCAGGACATAAATCCCACTGAAGCTGGGCTACTTGGAATTGAGATGTTAATTCATGGGCAGTCTGGCAGATTGTGGATGAGATGCCAATCTGTAAAGCAATTAGTTCCAGGAAATAACTGCTCAGAGCGTATGTGTGAAATCTCTGATGCCACTGGTGTGCTGTAGCTGGCTGACTACAGAGGTGTTAATGATTTCTAAAAGCTGGCTGCAAGTTCGGGTACATGCATCCATGGATTGCATGCCCAAATGCTTCACCTCTTTGGAAAATGGAGCTCACAATTTATATTTTTGAACGACATCAAGTCCTTCTGCAGTGATTCATCACATCTTGCTTGGTTCAAGATTCACTTGAGGGTGTCAGAGAAACATTTTCTCAACGTGCATCACAAATCAATGCTTGAGGGACAATTTGATTCCCTCTGGGCCTCCTGAGTCTTGCTGGAATATTTTCCTCTCTAGTTTCAGTCAACTGAAAACATCAGTTATAGCTATGGTTGTGAGGTCACCATCTACCGGGTTTTCCATTTAGAAATACTATAGGTTTTAGTCTCTACATCTTTCATTAAATGATGCCATATCCTTGATATCCTTGTTCATTTTTATTTCCCAAATGTTGTTTACACAGGCATTCCAGGACTTCAACATGGGAGGTTTGATTTTAGGAAGATAAAAATGCACTGTAGTTCAATCAATGGCTTGGGTTCAGGGGTGGGACTGATGCCAATGATTAAACTACCAAGTATTTTTATCTTCCTAAAATCAAACCTCCCATGCTGAAGTCCCAGACTCAGTCCTAGAAGCAAAACTGGGAATGTGTAGAAAGAGCATAAAATCTGAAGTCAGAATACCTGGCTTTGTTACTGCCTGGTAAATCCACTTAACTCCTCTGAGCCTCAGCTTTTTCATCTGTAAAGATAGGATAATGGTACCTTCCCTTCCTATATCAGGCTGGATGTAGCGTACCGTAAAATGCAAAGCCTGATGATGGTGGTGCTAGCGATTTTTAGTTTTGAGGCAAAACTAGCTAATCCTATGATTCTTCATTTACACGTCTCACAATGAGAAGAGAAAAAGGTTAGGAATATTAACTTTTATTCTAGTATTTGTAGAGCTTATTGACATATTCTGATGTGATGTAAATACTTAGCTGTTTTATTATCATCAGTCTTTGTGCTCTGATCAATGCTAACTCTTGTTGGTATAATTTTCTATTACTGTCATCCTTTATCTTTCTAGTTCATAAAATTGGCTATTTATTCTTGTGTGATCATCCAAATGAGAGAAAGGTAGTAGAAGAAATTTTGTAACAAACTTGCGAAAATGTTGGCCTACTAATCTTGAGCTGCATGACTTTGGAAACATCACTTAATCTCTCTGAGGCTCAGTTTTCTTAACTGTAAAATGGTAAATCGCAGGGTATGGATGAAATGAAATAATTCTTGTGAAAGTATTTTGCAAACCATATAATGTAATCCTTAACATGAACATTTTATATTGATCATTCGTCTTAGACAACAGTTTACTGATAAGTTAGATGGTCTTTGAAGGTCATTTTGAGCCATAATATTCCATACTTCTTTCAAAATTCAGAGACTGCCCCTATAACCATAGGATACCAGAGGAACTTAGCTCTGCAGAAATGAGGGATGGGAAGAGTATTGCTGCTTGGGGACTTGAGGGCTAGGCAACCAGTTCAGCTCAGTCAGGGGTGAGGGGGGAACTGAAGATGGAGATCTATTGGTTCCTCAGGTCAAGGAAGTTCAGATAACCCCGAGTTAGAAGCATGGATGTGGTTAACTGGACGTGAATGTCCAAAATGATGACGCCACCTAAGCTGGGCAAGCTGGACACTGTAGCCACGTGGGCTGGGGAAGCTGCTTGGCTATGGCTGTGTTCTCTAGGCCACACTGACAGGAAAGCTATGAGGCTGCACTGAAGGACACGGAGTCTAACTCCTGCTACTGCAGATGACTTATCACAAGGCACAGTGATTTCTGAAACTCCAGCCACAGGAAAATCGTCAGCCCCTCAGGTGGTAACTGGGAGCCTGTCATATTTCTAGTGTTTCTCAGTTCTAAAAATTCACAATTTATGAGATTATATGTGTTCATCCCTCAGGGTTTTATAGACTATGACTGTGTGTCTTCCTAATTATCTCCATTTTGAAACAAATGGCTAGTCCTTGTACCTACGGCTGCCTCTCTTTTGGATCTACTCCAACTCCTTTCTAGCTTTTATGTACAGTGAACAGAATGAAACAGTATTCTATACAGGAATATGAGGTGAGGATATTTTCTCCTCTGATTTAAATTTCCATCTTGATCATATGCAAATTTTGGCCAGTATTTGGTCCACAGGGGTAATTTAAGTCAATGTCTTTAGTAGACAAATGATAAGTACAATTTCTTTCCCCAAAGCTTAGAGCTCCAACATCTTATAAATCCATTTTGGCCTATTTTCTGCTAAATGCATTGCTCTGCAGGAAACATGGAAATTCACTTAGTTTTATGACCATTAAATAGGTTTTTCAAATCTTCCTGAATTATCTAATAAATGTGAGGCTATCCTTACCAGAGTAGCAATTTTCCTGGAAAGCAATCAGAGCATTCTGTGGGGTCTGGGGAATAATCTGAACTATTTTTCTAGAAGAAAGGGGGCATCTGGGTGGTCTATGGCTCTGGACCATAGGAATCAGGGGAATGGTTTCCCTTCAAGATCCAGCATTTCTCTGGAGACGGACGTTGGGGCCATTTATCTTAGATACAAAGTCCTATGTAATCCCTCAGAAAGCAAGTCAGTTGCATGAATCAGTTTCATTTGTTCTAAATACTTGAAAATAATTTTCAGTCAATGTCCGTGACATTACCTCTCCTCAGAGCTTCAGTTTAATATAGTTGTGGTGTGACTGCACATAAGGTTGTGAAGGCCAAATCTAAACCTTTACTCTCTGAGCTCTAACGACAGAGCTGTATCGTAACACATGGTGGCCTCTCCCTTTCTCTCCCCGTTGATGGCACTTCAGTTAAGGGGTCTCTTTCTTTCTCTTTCTTTCTTTTCTTTTCCTTCCTTCCTTCCTTCCCGCCCTCCCTCCTCCCTTTCTCTCTCTCTTTCTCTTTCCCTTTCTTTTTTTCTTCCTTCCTTTCTTTTCCTTTTCTCTCTCTCTCTCTCTCTCTCTTTCTTTCAGTATATTCAAAAAAGAAACTCTCAAGCTAGTGTCTAAATTTAGCCCAAGTGATCAGTACTGACGTCTAAATTAAGTCCCTCTTTCCAAGCGTCAACAGCTTCCAAGTCAATATTTCCTGCTCCACCAACTTCCATCAAACGCGAATGCTTTGTCGGAAACTGGACCAGACGACCCCTAAAGGAAGAGGCACACTAACAAGGAGAACAAGCTTGTCTAATGAGGCGCGGTGGCTTAATGGAGCAGTGGTCCCTCGGCACCTCCAAGGGCCGCAGTCCTTCGTGCTTTTCCTAAAGGCTGACCCCCAGCAATCCAGTGCCGTTTTGAACTACAGTCCCCCTGTGTGTCATCCTTGCCGTGGTGGAGAGAAGGAGAAGGAATGTTCTCACTCCTGCAGAAGAATTCTTTTTTGTCCTCCAATTCATGAAACACTGAACGGGAACGTACACAGATATTAGTCAGGCCTGATGATCCATACATAGATAATCTACTTTCCCACTCAACAAACTACCTATCCTGTACAGAATGGATACTTGGAGGATGAAAACTCATTTCATTTCCATTTTCATCTCAGCCAAGAAGAACATAATTAGGAAGTTGGCTCTACTATGAATGCTGTAGCAAAAATAAATAAAATAAAAAACCAGGAACAAAAGCAAAATTATATATTTCATTTCCAAGTCAATTAGGAATATGTCTCCTGTTATCTGGTTTATTGAGAAGACGTGAACAAACAGTAGAGGAGAACTCCCATGGCCTGCTGAGCCCACTGCTTGGTCGGCCAGGTGTAGGCCATGCCTGCCCATCTTCTCAGACATGGCGCTGTGGAGGCCAGGGAAAGCCCGGACCGCATTCTGCTGGAGAGCTTCTGTCTATTTCTCCTGGAACTCCAGGGTGGGAGTGGGGTCCAGCAGAGGCAAATTGTAGGACCTTGAATTTCAGAGGCTTGGGCTCAAGCTTCAGCTAAGTAGTCAATAGGCCCTGGGAGCACTCACCCTACGGTACCTCAGTTTCCTCATTTGTAAACTAAACGTCCACCACTTTCTCTCACGGGCCTGCTCTCCTAAACCGAGATCACGAACGAGAAAGTACTTCTCATGTGAAAAGAAAGTACTATCATTACTGCCAAGAGATTCAGAATTTGAATACTCATCACTGCTCTGGGCCTGCTAGGATTTCTACCACGTCCCCACGAGTAACAAGTCTCACCAGACATTCAGGTGTGACCCCAGTGTAATTAAACAGAAAACAACCTGGATGGCAGTGCTGTATCTGGCTTTGCCTGGGGCTCAGTGATGTTACCTGTGCTCAAGATTGATCTTTAGCACAGAATGTGTGGACTCTGAGTACTCTTTGGAAAAGAAGGGGAGCAGAGGAGATCATTTTTCACATTATAATAAATAATATATAATTAAAACATAGGCATTAGCAAGGAATACCCTGAATAAAAGGGACCGAGCAATAATTAAATAAAATATGATGTTTTTGTTCCCTGTGCTAAATTAATAGACAAACTTAAAAGCTCTAGCAGTCACTGAACATAAGAAAAAACAGTTAAAAGAGGAAGATGTGTCTCTGCTTAGGATGTTTTGGGTGGGGCTCTCCCTAGAGGAAGCAGGGGGACAGGGCTGCTTGGAAGAGTCTGGAGCACAAGGAGAAAACACTGAAGTGCTATGAGCTCTGCCCTGCAGGGAAGCCCTCCTGCACCCGTGGAGGGTGAAGGTGAGGTCTTTCCTCAGTGTGACCTGGCTGGTGACCTTTCTAAGCTTTGGTGACTTCCTCTGAAAGGGGAGTAATATCTGCTTCACAGAATGGTTGTGAGGATTGATCAAGAGATAGGTATAAAAGGCACACAACACTCAATAAATGGAACTATAATTATATTTGTATTTCTTCAATCCCACTTTGTCTAAATAGGAAATCCCCAATAATTATGCTAAAAATTCCCACTTAGTCTGTTCATAATATAAATATGTAGTATTTTTTAAATGTGTCATTGGTCATTGTGTGTATGTTCCTAGAGATCCCTAGGAATGGCACAGGGATGTCCTTTAGAAAGACAGCTAGTATCATGTCTCATACAGGTAAGTACTCTTTTCTTTTTAAAATTGGCTTTAATGTGACTAGAACGTTTCCTTATAAGGACCGCACACACATTGAAAAGAATGATGGGAACTGAAGGATGGCTACCCCTTATTGATTCTCAAGTATATGTCAGGTCCTGTACTAGGCACACAAATTAATCAAGCTGGCTCTAAAGCCTGAATATGTTTATTGATACAGGCTTTGCATTTCCTCTGAACTCTGGGCAGGGCTGAGGATAGAAAGGAAGAGAATCGATTCAGTGACTGAGGGCAACTTGGAACAGCACTGAGGTGCTCTCCTTAGATTGTTATATGTCAGAGAAATAATGCACTTGTAGTTTGAGCCATTGTACCATTAGATCTATTTGTTAGAGTCAGTAGATAGCAGCCTAGCTTTCAGAAACGAATACAACCACTCCTTAACTTACCTATTTCCTAATTCTGGCTATACCGGTGGCTCTGTATGCCTTACCCCGTTCCAGGAGCAGGCCCAGGCCAGACTCAGCCACTGGGAAGCCCAGGCTGCAGGAGGAGGGTCAGGCTCACCTGTCTGACCTCCGCCTGGAGGTGCCGCAGTTGGAGACACTGCTCGAGCCGCTCATGGGTCTGCTCTGCGTTGAGCTCCAACTCGTGCTGCTTCTCCTGGAGAAACTCCAATAGCTCTTGCACCTGGGCTGCCAGATCAATGTCTTTTTCACAGATTAACTCAATTCCTGATTTAAACAAAATGTAAACCATCAAAAACCAGGTAGTACCGTAAAGACTACATTTCCTTCTATATGCACATGAAAGCTGGAATCTGGAAACAACCATCACCAGCACCCTCCTAACCTCTGCATATCCCTCAGTGAAACTGGATAGATCACCAGAACGGGTCTTTGTTTGGGATGCTCGAACCATGGTTTCTCTTTTGGATTAACTGATCCTTTGTCAGGAGACAACTCTTCAACAGATGATCAGCTCCTTATCAACTGGAGTCAAAGAGGTGGTCCTCTGGATTCCATCCCAGACAAGGCCGCATACAGCAGTCCCTGCCGGGCAGTTCGCCTACACCCAGAATATTCACAACCGAGCCTCTGGATCACATTGGGAAATACAAAACAAAGCCCCAGAGACCCTGTCTCAGGAACTTCTGCCAAAGGCACCCTCTCTTTTAGCTGGTCAGATGCCATTTACCATTGGATGCTAAGTCCATTCTGAAGAGAATAGTTGGCCAGTGGTGATTTTCTTAGCCAACTACTCAGGTCCCCTAAAAAAGCAACTCAGAAGTTCATCACTGCCGCCACCAACACACCTGCCTGACACAGTGGGGGCATATAAGGAAAGTCCGCACACGCTAAAGGAAATTCTTTTCTAGAAGCAAAAATAGTGCTTTATATAAGAACAATATGGGAGAGTGGGAAATTTTGTTCTGGTGTTACACGGTAATAATTTCAGTATCTTTTCAGGTTTATTTTTTCTGTCAGTTTCATAATTCCAAGGCCCAGCTCCTGAAATATCTGTGGGAGACAGAGAAGAGAACGACTTGTTCTTTTAGCAGTCAACTGCCTCCAGTTGCTGTCTGCAATCACCAAGGGGATGAGGTAGAGCATCTCCTTGACTGAAATAAAAAAACAAGAAGAAATACAAAATTTCTACCTTTGCAGCGCTAGGCAACATGGGATGACCCTTGGCCTCCATGTTTACTTTTTAAAATGTAATTTAAGATCCACCTGCAGAAGCGGATCCCTGTTTCCAGCCACGACGCAGATTTTCTTCCAGCTCGTTTTCACCCTGCATGCATCTCTGGTGTTTAGTATGCTGGGCCTGGGCAAAGTATCTCTCTGTGGGAAGCTCATGGCTTACACATGCCACATCACACGCAAATGGGCTTCTTAGCCTGGTGCTCCATCAAAGGGACCAGCCACCTGCTTAGAGAATCATCCAGAACAGGCTCCCTGCCTGCCCTGAGACTCCAGCCCTTCATTCTCATCTATCTTGCTTGATATATATATTTTTTAATGTGAGATGAACACAGGAAATAAAATAGGTGAAGATGGTGTAATCAGGCTAAGAACGATTGTTTTATATCCACTTTTCTTCCCTTCCTCCAGATCCACACTCCTTCACCCCAGAGTAGCTTGCATTTTGGAAGAACACAGGCCTTTTCTTTCCTTTTATGACACAAGTACAATTATTTGTGGCCCATTATTTTTACGTATATCTGTTTCCTCCAGACTGATGTTCACTCTTGATTAATTCAGTAAACATTAATATTGAGAATCTGCTATGGCGAGACATAACCACTCCGCTGGATACCGGGAACGTAAAGAGAAGAAAGGAGGAGCCCTACCCTCATGCTGCTAGCGAAGCTACGGGAACACAAATCATCCCAACAGAATTCGGTATGCGCTAGAATACCAGTAGAGTATACAATAGTCATCAGGCTTTACTGAACTTCTGCCACGCTTGTGTTTCTCCCACTGCATCCTCACGATGACTCCATATGGTTAGGATTCCTATAACTGCCGTTCTTCTGAGGAAGGTGAAGCTTAGAGAGATCGGGTTACATGCTCAAGGACACCCAGGTAGCGAGAGGTGCGGCCGGGATCCCAACAAAGGGAATCTCTCTCGCTCCTGGCTGTACCCCTAACCTCTACGTGCAAGGAGAAGAGTGATCCTCACAACCTCATTTTTTTTAAGTTAATTAATTTATCGCTGCGTTGGGTCTTCGTTGCTGTGCACGGGCTTTCTCTAGTTGCGGTGAGCAGGGGCTACTCTGTTGCGGTGCACGTGCTTCTCATTGTGGTGGCTTCTCTTGTTGTGGAGCACGGGCTCTAAGCGCCGGCTTCAGCTGTGGCTGGAAGGCTCAGTAGTTGTGGCTCACAGGCTTAGTTGCTCTGCGGCACGTGGGATCTTCCCGGACCAGGGCTCGAACCTGTGCCTCCTGCATTGGCAGGCGGATTCTTAACCACTGTGCCACCAGGGAAGCCCCCCACGACCTAATTTAAGACTTCATTTAAATGCTGGGTCTGGGTACTTTCCAGGCACAGTAAATTTGAAGCACCAACGCCACAGACTCCATAGAGTTTTCACTTAAAAACCTTGCATAAAGAGAGAACTTGACGCTTTAAACCACAAAAGCAACGTATGCACAGGATACCAGCTCCTGTCTTAGTCCTAAGGTCATGGGTAACAGTCACATGGTTGGTGACATTAGGGTGAAGACCTGGGCCATAACCAATGGGGGCAGTGAGGCTGAATCATGGCAAGTGAGAACTGGAGGGGACTTTAGGAATGAAGAAGGCCTGCCTGCCACACTGGACAAAAGAAGAAACTAAGGTCTACAGAGAAAGAACAGGGACTTCCAAAGTCAAAGTGCTTGTTGGTGGTGCAGCTGGACCTTGAATTCAGCCAGTGGGTTTACTCCACCTCGACTCTTTCCAGCAAACCCTGCCACTTGCCAACTTGAGGCCCAGTAGATAACCCTAAACAATGAGCAAGTAAAGAAACTGTTCCTTTTGCCAACTATTGCTAAGGCTGACGATTTAAACAAGGCTTTTGCTTTGGTTAGGGTTGTTGGCACATCAGGCAGATTTAGCAGGACCTGGCTGAATGTTTCAAACTTCATACCAAAAAATAAGTGTAAGGAAATTCCCTACTTCTCCTATAAAAATCCAATAAAAATCATTTACTCCTATAAAAATCAAAGCATAAGCCCTAATTATTTTAGCCTGGAGGGCTAAAGAGCAACCAAATTCTTAATTTTGCTAATTGTCCTTTTTCTGAGACAACAGTTTATTTTACCTCTAGTTCAAATATAGTTCATTAGACAGACAAGGTAGGTGCCCAACCCATTTATTGCCTCAGTCCTGTGTCTCTGAAGTACTGCCTTCCTTGGCCACCTAGGTCCTCGGTAAGGCCCACTCTCGGTCCACCTCCAACCTCCACCCCTGGACCCCGGCTCTGGCGTGTTGCTACCCTCCCTTCCTCCAAGCCAGAGATGAGGTTGACGCCTCCTCTGCAGGACAGGCACACGGCAGCAGACAGAGAGAGCTTCCCTGAGAGCCTTGAGGCCTCATGGGCTATGCCAGACTGAACAGCCAGCTGTTCCCCCTGTTCCCAGCAGGGGAACAGCCAGTCCCAGCAGGGGAACAGCCAGTCCCAGCAGAGACTGAAGAGGCCAATCAGGCTCTTCTGACAAAGCTCATTCCGAGAACAGGATATGTGGGGGTGGGCAGCCCATCTGCTTGGGGTGTTTTCACCCACTCAGCCCTCATGGTTAAGGTGGCTGCCAAGCACAGCCAGTCTTCAGGGACTGCCAGCTCCCGGCAGTCTTTCCGTTACCAAGGATACCTGGCTCTTGGACAGAGGTGCACTTGCCCAAGGTCACGCCAGCATCCTGCTCCTACGTGCCACAGGTTTTCAGGCAGATGAGGCGCTCCACCTGCCAGACACGTCCATACTGAGGGATGAAGGGATGGCGGATGAGCATCCCTGCAGAGTTTCTCTGCACAGCCTCTCTTCTAGGTACTATGTCTGCGTTCTCTCATGGTTCCGCATCTTAGTTGGAGAGCGGTCTATGGCGAGCATCGTGAGGACAAGTTGTAGGGTGAAACCCTGAGTCCAGACAAGGTTCTCAGCCACAGTTTCCCCCTTCCCTCATAAGGCCTTGAAAAGGTACAGCTGTGGCCAAGAACACTGCTTCTCAAACTTTAACATGCACACGATTTACCTGAAGATTTTGTTAAAATGCAGATTCAGATGCGCAAGTCTGGGATTCTGCCTTTCTAATCAGCTCTAGAGTGATGCTGCCAGCTGCTGGTTCAGGGCCCACACTTAGAGTAGGTCCTGATCAGTGGTCCTACATTAGTGCATCAGAATCACCTAGAGGGCTTACTGAAACAGATTGTTGGGCCTCACCCCCAAGAGATTCTGACGAGGCAGGTTCTCGGGATGGGCCCTTGAACTTGCATCTCTAACAAGTTCTCGGGTAATGCGGATGCTGCTGAGCTGGGACCACATTTGGAAGTCGTTGTCCTGGGGCACGTCATAGATATCAGCTGCTGTGATTTAACCATCAAGATGAAAAGCAGTGGTTCTCAGCCCTGGCTGCACAGTGGTATCACCTGAGGAGCTTTTGCTGCTGCCCAAGTCCCATTCAGGGGTGTTAGATCACAGCATCTGGGCATCGTCATTTTAAAAATAGTCCCCAGATAGACTATGATGTGAATGAAGGGGCTTCTTGGAGCTGTGTGGAGCGTGGGCTGCACCCTGTAAACAGGCCTGGCTCTCATAGGCAGTTGCAGCCTGTTCACAACAGATGAAAATTCAAGGAAAGATTATACTGACCAAAGTAAATAGAATTTACTAGATTGTCTCTCCTCTGGTTAGAAGTGAAGTTCCTTTGAATGCTGCTATGTCCTCTATCAGGTCATTAAGAGAAACACAGTACCCTAAAGTCAAGCCTGCCTGACAATCTCATGATTTAAACATCTTTCACAATCAGCAGGGACATGGACAGACCATGTTTTAAAGAGTTGATGGCTTGAGGCCCTATCTGCTTCTTCCTGGAGGACCCGGGTGGGTGGCAGTGTGGAGACCTGGGTTCCGGCACTTCACTGGTGTGAGTCCAGATCAGTGACTTCCTCTTTCTGGACTAGTTGGACGAGGGGACAGCTATGGCTCTCTCCGGTTCTAACATCAAAGGCTGTTCTAGAAAGTGGCAGGTGTAACATTAAGTGTTCGTGGACTTGTTGGATAAACAGTAAATAGGGCTTCCCTGGTGGCACAGTGGTTGGGAGTCCACCTGCTAATGCAGGGGACTCGGGTTTGTGTCCTGGTCCGGGAGGATCCCGCATGCCGCAGAGCGGCTGGGCCCGTGAGCCATGGCCGCTGAGCCTGCGCGTGCGGAGCCTGTGCTCCGCAATGGGAGAGGCCACAGCAGTGAGAGGCCTGCGTACCACAAAAAAAAAAAAAAAAAAAACAGTGAATAAATCCTGAGCAGGAAAAGAAGTCAAGCCTGGGTAACTTGGCCATGTGTTTTTTGAAAAGTTATAAAATTTATATGACCTCGCCATAAACTTTATCAGTACTTCTTACACTCAAGCACAGACAGTTTTAAGAAAAATGAGGACAGAGAGGCCTGGACTGGAATGAGGAGCCGGCTCTGGCAGTGGAGGACAGGGCAGGAGAGTGTGTGCAGGGCACAGGGGTGGGACAGCAGCATCCGTACGTACATCTGAATACAATTCACAAGGATGCCTGACGGCCTTTGCAGCCCACCTGGTTTATTTCTCCAGACCACCATGTTTTTGTATCTGTGCTAATTTCCATCATTGGTTTTTCCCCTTCTCCCCACAGCACCAGGAGAACCTGGCCCTATTCCTATTTTTATCATAGCCTAACTGGGCAACCTCAGACAAACAATTTCAGCTCTCATGCTTCCGTTTCTTTTTCATGGGGTCAAACGTGGGGTCAAAAACCTCTGTTCCTTGTACCTGTGGGAAGAGAATGAGTGAGTGGAGCGGAAGGGCTTGTTGGAGTCAAGCTGCTGTCCTTGTCTTCATCATCTCCCCACCAGAAGCAGGAGCACGGGACAGGTCGCCTACCTGAGGCCTGGACCTCCATGATGTACTGGTGCAGATCCTGGCCCTGCTGGATGACCTCGAAGGTCATGTTGTTCATGGCTAGCTTCCGCTCTGTGTGGCGCTGCAGCCGCTGCTCCGCCAGCGTCAGATCCTCCGTGTTGAAGTCATTCATCTGCCGAAGCAAGTCCTCATTCCAGGCATCTAGCTCTGCCGTCACCTGTGAGGGAACCACCATCAGTGCAGGCTCACTGGTCCACAAGAGCCTTATTAACTAACCCAAGCTTCACATCTGTCTCTACTTTGCATCTCTTTTTTGACCCCTAGACTACGTTTAAGCAATGGTGCCATGCACCCACGTACGCATGCCTTTAAAAGTGTTCTCCCTGTGTTTCAGTGTCTATAGCAGCAGCAAACACTTACATGATGGATTATGGTTTAGAAAGGTTTTCACACTCCATCTCATCCTACTCCCACAGTAACCTGGAGAGGCAGGCAGGGTGGACATCCCAGGTCCATCTCACAGAAGAGAAGCTGACGCTCACTCACACAGATGGAATGCTTTGCCCAGAGTTCACCCTGCTCATGAGGGGCACGACCTGAGGACAATACTCAGTTCTTCTCCTGACTGCAAAGACTTTGTCCACCATACCACAGCCGTTGTTGTAAAGATTTCAGCATTGGAGAGGGCCTCAGAAATTAAGTACTGAGGCTAACTCTTTTCAAGAACCAGAAACAGGGGGCTGGAGAATCCCAGTAAATGGCCCGAGGTTACACAATTAGTTAGACCCCAAACCCAGGGGCCCTGATCTGGTTCCCATGTTCTGTTGTACAGTATTCTCTCTGCTACAATGGCTGATACCAGGAAGTGGTAAAAAAAACGAGGTGTAAATGTATAACTTACCTCTAGAAATCCAAGCAGATTAAACTCTATTGAGGCATGAATGAGTCTAATGAAGACTGAACATGTAGTGAAGGAAAACCTTGCCCTAGTATGACTTTGCTAATTGGTTATTGCTCTACACCTTCACTCCCGTGATGTGCCCTCGTTTACTCGCAAATATGTGCCTGCAAATGGAGACTGAATCCTATTCTTCCTTTACAATCGTTGCTGTCATCCACATAGTAAGAACTCAGAAGTATTGAATTGGATAATTTCCACCTGATACGTGAATCAAATAAAACCTTTTCTAAAATGGTTTTCAGGTCTGTTATCGCATGCTAGCCTTGTGGTAGCCCTGTGACGGCAATGGCACAGGTGCTGTCACCCTCTTTTCTGGGAAGAGGCAATGGAAGCCTCACCCCAGATCACACAGTTGCAGTATGGCCCAGGCAGCCTAAGCACACGGCCCAGAGCCCAGCTTAGTGATTTCATCATGCTGGGTCTCATCCCAGCTGACATGTGTCATAACCTTCCCAATTACCAAACACTGCTGTCCAGGAGCATCAGGGGACAAAGAGAAGGAAAGATGCAGCTGAGAGATGGTGATGTTCCATGCTGTGCTGGGGCCATAAAGGCTGGGATGGGAAAGGCAAGCAGTCCCTTGTGAGGGGCTGCCATCCCGGGCACAGGATTCCACTCTTTGTTTAACAGTAAGACTTTCCTCCACTGAAAGTACACTTTCTCTCTTTGAAGCAGAAATGGGGAACTGTAAAAATACTACCTTCAGTGTCATGGGTTCTCACCTCATGCTGCCACCTCAACTAAGGGATCCACTGAGCTCAGCCCGAAAACCTAGTATCTACTTATTGTGGGGAGCCCTTGGGGATCTGGGAACCAGCAGGTTGGTAGGCAAACAGGTTTTTGTTATATCCTTATTTTTTTTTTTTAGATTTTTTTTTTGATGTGGACCATTTTTAAAGTCTTTATTGAATTTGTTACATTATTGCTTCTGTTTTATGTTTTGGTTTTTTGGCCGCGAGGCATGTGGGATCTTAGCTCCCCGACCAGGGATCGAACCCACACCCCCTGCATTGGAAGGTGAGGCCTTAACCACTGGACGGCCAGGGAAGTCCCTATATCCCATCTTTGAAAAGCACTCCATTCTCTAACTAGAGAAAGGAGTTAAACTGAGAAAAATAAGATAACTTATAATTTATAAGAGATAATTTATAGAATGAATAGGCCTTTGTAGACTAGGCCTATAGCTACGTTTTTCCTTCCTGTATTTAAAAAAATTGAAGTACAATTTACATATAATAAGATACATAAATTTTAAGCATTCAGTTCTATGAGTTTTGACAAGTTTAGTTACTGGTGTAGCCATCACGAAAAACAAAATATAGGACCTTTCCATCACCCTAGGGAGTCATCCTTTCCAGTCAGTTCCTGCCCCTGCCCCACTTCAGGTGCCATTTTCTGATTTCTATCCTCACAGATTCTTAGATTCCATACAAATGAAATCATACAGTATGGACTCTTTCATGTCTAGCTTCTGTGTTCAACACACTGTATTTAAGATTTATCTGTATTGTATCAGTTCATTCCTTGCTACTGCTGAATTCCACGGTATAGAGATTCCGTGATTTGTATATCTATCCTCTAGCTGGTGAACCCCTGGGTTGTTTTCAGTGTTTGGCTATTACGAATAAGGCTGATGTGAAAGTTCTTGCACAAGTCTTACTGTGGACACTGGTTTTCATTTCTCTTGAGGGTCACTTAGGAGTGCAATTGTAGGGTCATAGGGTAAGTGTATGTTTAACATTCCCAAGAGGAATTTCGCATTCCCTGTGAAAGTTCTAGATGCTCACCATCATTTCGTATGATCAGTCTATTTAATTTTAGCCAAGCTAGTGGGTGTGAAGTGGTATCTTATTATGGTTTGAGCTTGTATTTCCCTGATGACTCATGGTGGTGAGCAGTTTCACATGCTTATTGACCGTTGGTATCTACTTTTAGAAAGTGTTGAGTTTTTTGCTCATTTTTCAAAAGCTAGGTTATCTTTTGACTATAGATTTGTAAGAGTTCTTAATATATGCTGGATATAAGTCATTTATCAGATAATATATGGAAAATAGACCAAACAAAATTTTTAGTCCATTTCCCTGTCTACAAGCTTAAGGAAAATAAAAATAAGAAAACAAGCACGAGAGGAAGAGTCTGTCTTTTCTTTACATTTTAGTTTTTGTTTTGTTTTCATGAAACTGAGTCTATAAAGAAGCTGTTTGCTGCAGGAAGATCCCAGAGGGGTCCCAAGGTCTGAGTCTGTGGAGCAGAAAGGCAAGTGTCGAGGGTCCTGGTTAGGGCAGAGCAAAGGTGAGGTGCTTTGGTTGGGGACAGTGAGGCTCAGAGGTCTGGTATCTTGGGAATCTGAATCTAAAGCAAATGTGAAGTATGCCTAGGATTCTATATCTGGTGTTTCTATATTCCTGCCTTCCCCTCCTCCACCCCTACCTCCCAATACCATTGAGCTGAAGGACCCAAGTCTGTCATGAAGCCTGAAGAATGAGAATTTCAAGGAGCTTCTCAATGCAACAGCCTGCCTTCCAAGTCTCGCTCCCTGGGTCTACACACAGTCATGTCTGACTCTCTTCCCAAATCCCCAAGAACTGATGCCAAGAGCCTTGAAATAGTCTGATTTATGAATTTCGAATGTTGGCTGGAGTTTAAATATTTTCTTTCCTGAGTATTTTCTGTTTCCTCAAGGAATATTCTGTCACTGGCTTCCCTCTCTCCACCTTCTTTCTGGGGCACAAGGTTGGCATTATAGCAGGGGCTCTTTTTTTTTTTTTTAAAGAAAAAAATTAGTTTTCAAACCTGAAGCTTGCTTTACAGCTAATGAACAAACCTAGCTTTCTGGTCCCATCTCATGCTCTTCTGTTATGTGAACCAGGCATCTGGTTTACTCCCTGATCCTGAGAAGTAGCTCTGCCCTCTCCAATCACCTTCTCTGGTCCAGCAGCCCTGAGACATCCTTGTCCCTCCTCCCAGTCTGTTCAAGTCCTCACTGCCCTTCAAAGTCACCCCTCTGTCATGAAGAGCTTCACGACACCCCCAAAACCTGACGTTTTTCTCCGGCTTATCTCATAACATGGGACATGGGCTAATTTGCTAATACAGAGACAAAGCCATGAAAAGAAAAACCTGTCTGGGGATTGATCTGGTGATCTAACTCCATTTGGAAAAGAAACCTGGAAGAATTTGTACTAGGCAGAAACTAGGGCCTGAACCAAATGAGTGAAAGATGGAATAGAAAGTACCCACAGGGCATTCAGCTTTCAATCCACCTATTTTGCTTTCTCCTTCCACTCCATTAGCACCATCTCGGCTCCTGGCTCACTCAGCTCCTCTCTGGGCTCCAGTGGCCTCTCTCTGCCTCACTCTTCTGAATTAATTGGCATGTGAGGATATGAGAGATACACTGGCAGTGTTTCTATTCTAACAATTATCTACTCTAGAGCCACAGCCACAAGGAAAATCCGAGAAGGAGGTGAACAGGAATTTAGAAAGGATAAGAGGCAGTGGGAAATGGGAAGACACTTCAAAAAGCTTTCCTACCAGATGAGATTCACTGAACCCAGTATTCTGCGGCCAAAACCTGACCCAAGGGACTTGGTTTAGCAGTAGCCTTGGGCTCTGTTCTCAGAAAGCCCTCTTCACTGGCTCCTCCCATTTTCTGGGTCCTTCCTAGGAGGTATGTGTAGAGAATGCTTTCTCCACTCACCCCCAAGTGTACCTGCCTGAAACAGAACTCACCTGTCCCTCTCTTCCCACTTCCTGTGGTCTATTCCCATCACCTTAGCTCTTTATTATCAGCTGCAAATTTCACCGTGTAGTCCTTTTCTTCTGATCATTTTTAGATGCTGGTGATCGTGGTGAAGATGATGATCATGGTTAAAAGAAGATTCTACCCTGAATTGTGCATCTATTATGGGATAGACAGTGTTAAGCATTTGATTTTCTTTTATTTCATCCTCATAGCAACTCTAGGAGGAAACGAAGGCACATAGAAGTCAGATCATTTGCCTCATGGTCTCAGAGCTGGTGGTGGCAGAGCTCAGCATTCAACTACAAAGTCCAGGGCTCTTAACCACGGTGTCATATCAACAGAGCTGGTCTAAGAACTAACTTCAGGGGATAGCTTTCTTTTTATTTTTCTCACTTCAGAGAAGTGCCTGTTTAACCTTTCCCCTGTTTTCTTCTCTAAAAAACCCCCACAAACTCCTGATAACTCCATTTTCTTCACTTCACATGAACCTTTGAAATTAATCATGTGCTTC